CATAGGGGGGGGGGGGGGGGTCAGTCAGTGAGCAACCCCCAAGGGAGAAACAGCCGACAAGTTCGAGAACAGGGTTGTTACATATTCAGCTAAGACCCTGGCTGTGCTTAAATACCAGACCTCCCACCCATCTCTCCCAGATTCTGAGTAAAAATCCAAAAACCGCCTTGTTCCAGTGGAGACAGGCTGTGTGCTACACGGAGTCAACAAATGAGGAACAACATGGGAAATCACACCACAAAAACTTGCAGACAGCTTGAGGAGGGCCCAGGACATGGGGAAAAAGGGGGGTAGGTGACTCAAGACAATGTTGTTTAATTTACAAAAGGACGGAGGCCCAGCCAACTGCAGGGCAGGAGCTGTCACTAGAGCAACAGTGGTCTGCACCTACGAGAGCAGCCGAGACAACGCTAAGTTCAATGTGAGGACACTTGGCATCTGCCGTCTTGGCTGCCCAGCCTTCTCTGCTTAGACCTGCTTCAGGAACAGACTTTAATAAACCTTCCCAAGCCAAGTGGAACTCATTCAGCCACACTGAGCTAGAAAGCCAAATCCTATCACACACAGACTGAAGATACTGAACAGCAAGAGGGGAAAGGCCTGACCGCCACACCCGAATGAGAGCTACCACTGTGAGGACAGGTCAGGGACAATCGCTCAGCCACTCTCCGGAAGCACCCGGTAGATGGCTGAGCACAGTCCTTCCTGACAGCCGAGCAGGCCCAAACTGTAGTGTGATCTCTCAGCAAGATAAAAACGATTGGAGAAGCAGTGGTTGGTTCCTTTTCCACTGGGCAAGTTCTTGCAGTGTGGATTAAGACTGGGAAAGATTTATTTCCGTCGGAATGGGACGTGCCCTGAAGAGCTAACGCAAAATGCAGAATCTTACCGTGTAGGCCTCTTCCGTTACGCATCTCAGGGTGGACTCCATGAAAGGCCAAGTTCACCTGCTGAGGGAAGTGGCCCACCTGAATCACTGCTAACACAGACTCTGTAGGACTCTAGACCTGGCCGATGCTTGTTGGTCAGGGCCCAGGCAGGCCTGCCTCACCTCTGCCCCATGGGGCAGTAGTGGACCCGTGTTCATCTCACCAGCACCCGAACCTCAGTCTTCCTTCCTGACTGGCCTGAGAGTCTCCCTCCACATGCCAGGGGCTGGCTCAAGAATGGGTACGTGACCCACTGCTGGGCAATAAGTTATGACAAAAGGGCTTCTGGAAGTTTCCTTGAAACACAAGAATGTAATGATCTAGTGTCTTCCTCTGTAATGGTCTAGTGTCTTGATACGCTGCCTGGAACTGCTACAGCCATCTTTCCACCAGCCCGATGAAGCCAACACTGAGGATGATGGAGCAGAGAGGAAACATTCGTTTCCTTCACGGGAAGCTGAATCAACCCCCTACGACAGGACAGGACTCCCTGCCACGTGAGAGACTGAATTTCCTGGCTGTCCAGGCCTGCCTGAGACAGGATGTCTGTAGCAGGAGTTCAAGCCAAGTGGTGTGAAAAAGGCCCAATTAGAACTGATATTTTGGGAAGCAAAATGCTAGGTGAATGCAGAGAAGGTGGTCACATGTCACTCGGGTGGCTATACCTGGAGCTTTGTGAGGCTGGCTGTAGCGTCAAGGCTTGGAAACACTGTTCCCAGGCTGACGAGGCAACGCCCTGTCATCCCCACGTCTGTGCCTCCCGGCTTTCGACCTCCTCCAGGGAAGTCGCCTGGGATTCTCCTCCGAGATTGAGAAGAATCCAATAAACACGTCCCTGGGAATTAATGTGCCTTCGGTTCACATGGAGGACTGGCCACCTGCTCTCTCAAACGCCTGTTCAGAATCCAGTTAAAGCAGAAAGATTAAACGCAAGCTTGGCACTGGGGATGGAAGGACGGCAGACGCAAAAGGGAAGGTGGGTTTAGGAGCACATTTCCCAGCAGCAGAGGAAGCTCAGCCGCATCTGCTTGTTGGCAATCCAGACGCCTCTTTGCCTGTGGCTACTCCAAGAAGGGGGAGGGAAAATGAGCTTGCTTCTCCCTGATTACATTAATCCTGCTTCCTGTTTGAGATTTAGGCATGTAAAAAGCTTCTGTTTCCTCAATGGAGACATTTTAATCCTCAATGAGTATTCTGGGTGTAATTCCCTAGAGGGGACATTCAGTGTGGTGAACAGTGACATCAGTCTTGGGGCACAAAAGTACACTTGGCACTTACTGGTTGGGTGACCCCAGGCAATGTTATTACTTCATTCCTGAACTTCAGTTTCCTCATCTATAAGATGGGGATAATAACAGCACCTGTTTCAGAATCATGAAGATTAAATACATTAATGCAAGGGAGACACATATGTGCCTGGCACATAGTAAGCACTAGACAAGTGTGAGCTACTGCTGTTGATACTGTCTTCAACAGGGACGGAAGCTTCACACGGAAAACAGGTTTCAGCCACTCACATGTTCTCCTGGTTCCTGAAACGAGCTGCCCTCACCCCAGTGTGTCCAAGCACATCAACATAGTTGTCCTTTATCTCTGCAGGAGTTCGATTGGAGACAACTGTCCTATGGCTTTCATCTGCGTAAAAGAACCGTTTTGGGGGACAAGACAGGAGAGTTTAATCTTCAAACTTGACTGACTTGGATGCATTCCTGTCAATATAAAAGATTCTGTCCGGAGCTGTGGAGAAGCCGAGGCCGGCCCTTCGGCTGTACTTCCAGCTCATGGCCCGGTCGTAGTCCTGCTGCAGATTCTGTTGCAGGGTGTCGGCCACCTTCTTGCTGAGGGCCATGTTGGGCCTGCTGACCATGTTAGGGGGACGACTGAATGAAGGGGACAGATTTTTAAAGCCACCCATGAGTTTGAGAAATTTCAGTTTCTGTTCCTCATTGTCAAAGCCAGCAGTATCCCATTGGCCAAACTGAGTTCCCTGTGGTAAGAGAAAACAGGTGGTTACTTTGCTGGCTTCCAAAGCATCTTCCTTTCCCCAGCCCCCAGCCTTGCCAGGGAGGATCCAGATGATCAAAGGCTTACTGGGCACCAGGCACAGTGCTTGCAGGCACAGCAGTGGGTTATCTTAACTCCAACCAGAGCCCTGTGAGGAATACGGTTCCCACTCTTCTGATGAAGAAATGGAGGTTTGCAGCTGGACCGGGGGCACAAGCCTACTTGGTAACCCTGCTGGAACTCCATCTCGGATCTGGCCCACACCAGAGCCCACCCTTCACGCTGAGTTGCCCGTCTGCCTTACTCCTTCTCCCCCAATTCACGACAGACAGTACGACACACCTCACCAGCTGGCTACTCATCCATCAGCCTAAGGTTTCTGTCCTTTGGAGGGTGGAGAGGGCAAGCGGGAGTCTGAAATGCATTTCCCTTCGCAGAAGCGCTGCACTTCAGAGCAGGAAAGGAGTGGAGGCCCCAGGAGGTGAAGGGTGACAGGAGTCGGACGCTGAGCTAGCCCAGGAACACGGGGGCCCCGATTCCTGGCCAGAGCCCTCTACAAACCACGCACGAGTCGGCCATGTTTGAGAAAATGCAAGAGAGCCCCTCAGAGCAGTGGCCCAAGAGAAGACTCCCTTCCCTCCCGTGTCTGTGGCCGAGGCCAGAAACTCAGCTCCCCATGAAGACTGTGACTTCGAAGACTCAGGATTGAGCCCTGCCTGCGTCACCCGGGTAAAGTAACTTAACCCCTGAGCCTCAATGTCCTCATCTATAAAATGGGGGCGTAATCGCCCCCGACAGGGCTTCACTGAGGCTCGAATCACGTTTTACACCAACAACTCAGAGCCCAACGCCTGGTTCGCTTTAAGTCCTCGAAAACTGGTCATCTACCCACCCCACCCCACCAGGATTGCTGACCTCTGTGCCGCCTGGGAACTCTCCGCCTGTGAGCCAAATGCCAGCCTAGCACTTATTTTTAGGTCGGCTTTGGGAGAACAGTAAGAACCAGTCACTGCTACAGCTAGCTGCCCTGAGTGAACTGGTGACAAGCTCTCCGAGCTTCACAATGCCCCCAGTACAGGCATTAACAACTGCTTCCCAAGCCTTCACTTTCTAGAAGGAGAGGCCACCTCTGACAGCCCCGCACTGGGTCTGAGGAGAGAGCTGCCAGCGGCTGACCAGTGCTGTGAGCCTGCTCTCACTGGGCTACCGACCCACTGAGAGGGGACCCGGTCTCAAATCCCTACCATGTGCCTCAGCAGTCAAGTGGTCCCAGGTCCCAGGAGGCAGGGCCACCTAAAGCATCCCCAGAAGATCCCAGCCCCTATGCCCCCGGAACACCCTCCTGCTGTCAGGTCCCTCCAGGTATTATTGCCTCTGGGCCACTGCTCTGGATGAACGCTGCCTTGTTTCTGGCCTTCCTCACTCAATCATGGAATCTTATCAGCTCTGCCCAGTTCAAGAGGATAGAGAGAAAGGAGACCCTAGAGGAATGACATAACAAAGCCCCATTCCATACCCCTCTGGGCCAGAGCATGAGTCCCATTTTACAGGTGTGGAAACTGAAGCTCAAAGAAGGGAAGTTACTTGCTAAAGTCTCATAACTATAGAAGGTGGCTGAGCCAGGAGCTGATCTCAGGTCTTTTGATCCAAAGCAACTGTTCTTTTCTGTGCTACACTAGGAAAGCTTAAGACAGTGTTACAAGGAAGCAAGTCCTTCTGTCATCTGGATCCTCTGTCCCCCTCTCCCAAATCCACGTCTATTAACAAGTTCTCCCCTCTGCCCTCTGCCCTCTCCTCTACCCCAGTCCCCGCTGCTCCACATGAATGCCCTCCAGCAGTTCCCACCGCCCTGCACACCGCACCCTCCCATCCCTCTCCAGCCTGGCCTAGCGGTCCCCATGCCATACACTCTCCCGTGCCACCTCCTGGGGCCTGGTTTGGAAACTTCCCATTCCAACTGGAGCAGAGGCCTGCCACCTCTGCCCCCGCCCCTGTCCCAGCCGCTTCCTGAGGGTACCACCCACTGCTGGAAAGAGCTCGCCATCACGTGCCCCCAGCGACTGATGACTGGGACACCCTGCCCGTCCAGAGCCAGAGACAAGGTCCAGGCTGCTTAGCTCAAGCGGCCAGCTCTCCAGGAGGGAGGCAAGCACCCGCTTCCCAAGAAAGGAGAGTAGCTCAGGACGAGCTCTGTGGAGCAGGGAGCTGGCTGGCGGGCGGGAGCTGCTTTGGGGCCAGAGGGACTTGGTCTCCCGCCCCTGCAAGGTGAGGAGGAGACCCCTCGCGGAGCCCAGCGTGAATCTTACCGTCTGCTTCCTGGTGTCAGAAGCTTCCGTCCTGCCTGACTCACGATCGATCTCTTCCTGCAAGGCCTTTCGCCTCACCTGAGCAAGGGAAAGGAAAGGAAAGAGGGCAATTAGACAGCGGTTTCGAGCTTCAAACCCAGGACAGAGAGGAGGTGGGGTGGGGGGGCTGGGGGGGGCTGGGCAGCTTTGTTCTGCTGCAGGCCGGGGGAGGCATCTGTCAAAAATACCCTCTAATCATGTGAGGGGCAATCCCTTGGCCTAAAACATGCAGGCCTCATTCACCCTTCTTTTCCATTCCTTAAGAATGAATCTTCCAGTGGACTGCCCTGGCGGTCCAGTGGTTAGGACTCGGCACTCTCACTGCCAGGGCCCGAGTGGTTCAATCCCTGGTCGGGGAACCCCGTGCGCTGAGTGGTGCGGCTAAATAAATAAATGAATGACTCTTCCTAGACACTGAGGCTTTTCCACCTTTAGCATTAGAAACTCTTCTGTTTGTAAGAGCCACCTGGGGTGGAAATTTTCTCAAAACACATGCCCAAAGCCCTGCCTGTGCAGAAGCTATTGTAGTTAACTTCCTTGCTGACAGCATCGTCTTCTAGAAAGAACACAGGCTCTGGAGTCAGGCACAGGCTAGTCTGAATCCTACCACTGCCATTAACTAGTTGTGTGGAAGTCAATTAATCTTTCTGTACCGTGGTGTATTTATCTGCAAAGAGATGGAAATATCAGCTACCTTGAAGGATAAATGGGAGACAGAGAACTGCGATACTGTGGTTTATAGTAAGAAATATGTGACAAGAAATATATATTTTTAAACTCATCCCCATTCCTGGCACAGAGTTCCAAAATCCCTAGGAATTTCCTAAGTGATGGGAACCATCAAAGTGTCCTTTGTAAAAAAAAAAAAAAAAAAAAAAAAAAAAAGTGTCCTTTGTTATGTTAATTGGGCGACTTTTGTAAGCACCTGAGGACGGGGGCTGGTTGCCAAGAGAACCAACCACCGATGAGAGGGTTGGAACTTTCAGTCCTGACCTCTGGGGAGGGGAGTGGAGGAGGAGATTGAGCTCAGCCACCAAATGGCCAATGATTTAATCAACTGTGCCTCTGTAATGAGGTCTCCACAAAACCCCAAAACGTCAGGGTTCAGAGAACTTCTGGGTTGGTGAACACTGGAGATTTGGGGAGTGGAGCTCTCGGAGAGGACATGGAAGCTCCACGCTCCATCCCACACACCCTGCCCTGTGCGTCTCTTCCACCTGGCTGTCCCTGAGTTATATCCTTTCATAATGAACCAGTAATCTGGCGAGTAAAATGTTTCTCTGAGTTCTGTGAGCCACTCTAGCAAGTTAATTGAAGCTGAGGAGGAGGTCTTTGGAACCTCTGATCTGTAGCTGGTTGGTCAGAAGCACAGGTGACAACCTGGCTTAAGACTGGCGTCTGAACGGCGGGGGGCGGGGGGGACAGGGGTGGGGAGCAGTCTGGCGGGACTGAGCCCTTCACCTGAGCGGTCTGACGGTATCTCCAGATAGACAGCGTCAGACTGAGTTGAACTGCAGGACACCGCGTGGTGTCGGGGAATTGCTGGTTGGTGTAAGAAAGCCCCCAGCCCCACGATGAATTGCTGTGCAGAACGTAAGACAGAGTCCCCGGCACACAGCAGGGACACCTCACACACTGTTACCAGAGAGGCTCAAGGCCACAGTCAGCGCACCAATGACCCTGTGGTTTGATACAGAAGCTTCTAGGGCCCAAGGGTTCAGGTGTGACTTTAGCTGCTCCCAGTTTGTGGCCCCTCCTCTTCTCTTCTAATCTACCACAGGCTGTAACGAGGTGACCATTCGTATAGTTCAAAACTACATAAAACAGGACTTCCCTGGTGGCGCAGTGGTTAAGAATCTGCCTGCTAATGCAGGGGACACGGGTTCGAGCCCTGGTCCGGGAAGATCCCACATGCCGCGGAGCAACTAAGCCCGTGTGCCACAACTACTGAGCCTGCGCTCTACAGCCTGCGAGCCACAGCTACTGAAGCCCACGTGCCACAACTACTGAAGCCCGCGTGCTTAGAGCCCATGCTCCGCAACAGGAGAAGCCACCGCAATGAGAAGCCCGCGCACCGCAACGCCACAACTGGAGAAAGTCCATGCACAGCAACAAAGACCCAACGCAGCCATTAAAAAAAAAAAGAAACTGCATAAAACAAATCCAAAGGGCAGCTGTAGGGATGAGAGAAAATGACGGTATATTCCTAGGTCAGAGTCATGCTGCTGACAGGGAACAATGTGGATGTGCCCTCACTGAAGCGGAAAGCAGCTCACCAGCTAAATGAAAAAAGTGAAAAGAACAGTATACAGAGCATGACTGTACGCTGCTTTAAAATCACACATACACAGTTACAAAGGAAAAATCTAGAAGGATATAACAACCAAGGGTTAACAGTGATTATTATTAGGTGGTAGCAGGGGTCCCCAACACCCGGTCCGCGGGAGGTAAGCGGCGGCCAGTGAAGCTTCATCTGCTGCTCCCTGTCGCGAAACTGGTCCCTGGTGCCAAAAAAGTTGGAGACTGCTGGGTGGCAGGATTTCAGGTTGCTTTGTGGGCAATCTGTATGTCTTCTCTGGAGAAATATCTATTTAGGTCTTCTGCCCGTTTTTGGATGGGCTGTTTTTTTGATATTGAGCTGCATGAGCTGCTTGTAAATTTTGGAGATTAATTCTTTGTCAGCTGCTTCGTTTGCAAATATTTTCTCCCATTCTGAGGGTTGTCTTTTCATCTCGTTTATGGTGTCCTTTGCTGTGCAAAAGCTTTAAAGTTTCATTAGGTCCCATTTGTTTATTTTTGCTTTTATTTCCATTTCTCTAGGAGGTGGGTCAAAAAGGATCTTGCTGTGATTTATGTCATAAAGTGTACATGCCTATGTTTTCCTCTAAGAGTTTGATAGTTCCTGGCCTTACATTTAGGTCTTTAATCCATTTTGAGTTTATTTCTGTGTATGGTATTAGGAAGTGTTCTAATTTCATTCTTTTTTTTAATTTTTTTATTTTTTGGCGGTAAGTGGGCCTCTCACTGTTGTGGCCTCTCCCATTGCAGAGCACAGGCTCCGGACACGCGGGCTCAGTGGCCATGGCTCACAGACCCAGCTGCTCCGCAGCATGTGGGATCTTCCCGGACCAGGACACGAACCCGTGTTCCCTGCATCGGCAGGCAGACTCTCAACCACTGCGCCACCAGGGAAGCCCAACACAATGAACTTTTTACCAGAAAAAGAAAGGGAGAGTTGGGGCAGAAAGCTTCACTTACATTGAGATCATCTGTCACCCAAAACATAAGTTTTCTTTAAAACCGTGAGGTATTTAATAGGCACGAATTCATAAGAAGCAAAGAGGTGGCTGGTGGGCCTTGCCCCGGTGAGCGGCGGGACACCTGGGAGAGGCGCCCAGGGCAGGGGCTGGGCCTGGATGCGTCAGGGCCCCACCTCCATCCTCTCCACCAGCCACTGCAGCCCGGGCCCACATCCCCAAACGACGATGACCTGCAGGAGGCTGGGGAGCCCCTGGTTCTGGGGGGCCTGCGCTCTGTGCCAGGCCCTGGACTGGGCCCTGTCAGCATCATCCTACTGAGCCTCTCCGCCCCAACTACCTCAGCCCCTCCCCTCCAGGGAGAGAGCCCCCCAGTACCCCAAAGGCATTAGGAACTTCCTCGCAGCATCTTGTAGGCCCCCCTCCTTGTAGTTGGCTGCCTTGCAAGCACTCCTCCGTTTCTCTCTCCTGGAGCGGCAGGGCCATGACACGGGCCGTCCCCACACCACACCCTGTTGCTTCTGTCCAGCAATTACTGGCTGACACACTGTGAGGATGCAGGCAGGTGAACGGCTGCCACTTACAAAGCACACGTCTCGGGCAGGCCCCTGCTGAGCGCCTCCCAAACGGCCTCGTTTGGTCTTCACAGCCACCTACATGGGGGTCCCAGGGTCAGTGACTGCCAAAGTAACCTCATTAGTAATGGCCCAAGGCTGTACCTATGCGGTTACTATGCTGTCCTGATAGGCCTTGGGGTCCAGGATCATAAAAATATCCCAATTCTAGAATGTCCAGCTCCCACACAGGATCTGGGCATGACAGAAGCAGAAGCTGGTCCACAAGAGAACAACTTCTCCTAATGCTCCTGTACGACAACTGCATTTCTATATACTAGCAATATATACAACAATAAAAACTGAACTGAAATACTGTTTACAATAGCATCAAAAATATAAAATACTTAAGGAAAATTTGACAAAAGATGTGCATGACCTGTACACTGAAAACTATAAAACAATACTGAGAGAAACTAAAGACCTAAATAAATGGACAGAGATGCCATGTTTATGGATCAGAAGCCTTCATACTGTTAAGATGTCAATCCTCCCCAAATTTGTCTGTAGATTCAAGGCAATCCTAATCAAAATCCCAGCAGCAATTTTTGGTAGCAACCAACAAGGTAATTTTAAAATTTATACAGAAGCGCAGAGGACCTGAACTAGCCAAAGCAACTTTAAAAAGAACAAATGCTAGAGACTTATACTACCTAATTTAAGACACTATATAGTTACAATAATCTAGACAATGAAGTATTAGTGTAAAGATAGACACACAGATCAATGAAACTCAACAAGAGTCTAAAAACAGACCCACACCACACACACACACACACACACACACACAAGCACGGTCAACTGATTTTTTACAAAGGTGCCTAGTCAATTCAATTGAGAATTTAAAACTTTTTTTTTTTTTTTTTCGGTACGCAGGCCTCTCACTGTTGTGGCCTCTCCCGTTGCGGAGCACAGGCTCCGGACGCGCAGGCTCAGCGGCCACCGCTCACGGGTCCAGCCGCTCACGCAGCATGTGGGGTCCTCCCAGACTGGGGCACGAACCCGTGTCCCCTGCATCGGCAGGCGGACTCTCAACCACTGCGCCACCAGGGAAGCCCCTAAAACGTTTTTAACATCAAAATAATGCTAGAAACATTGGACAGCCAATAACAAGGAACAAGTTATTGATACATGCAACAATACAGATAAAGCTCAGAATGATTATGCTAGGTGAAAGAGGCCAGTTTAAAAAAGAGCACAAACTGTATAATCCCAATTATATACAAATTCTAGAAAACGCAAGCTACGACAGAGAGTAGTGGTGGCTACCTGGGGATGGGAAAGGAAGGGATGGAATACAAAGGGGCACAAGGAAACTTTTAGAAATGATGGGTACGTTCATCATCTTAATTGTTTAGCTGGTTTCCTGGATGCATACATGTCAAAACTCATCGAATTGTACACCTTAAATATGTGCAGATTCTTATATGTCAATTATATTTAAATAAAGTTGCAAAAGAGAAAAAATAAAATAAAAATGCTCCTGAATGGAGGTGGTGACGCATGGGCCGGGCAGGGCACATGCCCACTGCCTGGCTGCAGGTCACAGGGACATGCCTGCCCCCTTTTCCCCCTGCAGTGGTTATGAGGAGGGGAGGCCACAGGATCCCCACCACTGGAGGGGCGGCAGAGGCTGGCCTCGTTGCCTTTGGAGTCCCTGATGCCTCTGGGACCAGGATCTCATGGCCTGCCGGAAGGTGTGTGCGTCTGGGGAAGGGAAGACGCCTGGGAGGACGAGGACCGGTCGTACCTGGTCTATGTGCGCTTCGTCCATGTTGCCCTTCTTTTCCAACACCACCTCCAAGTCCGTGTCTGGCTCCTGCAAAGAGGGCAGAAGGAGTAAGGCTCGAGTGGACGATGGCCTCTGCCCTGGCAGCCCAGCCGGATGAGATCGCAACTGAGTCCAGAAAAGACTCAAGACTGGAGCGCTACGCCCACCCCTATCACCCACAGAACACCTGCCATCCTTTCTCTTCCACGATTCTCCCCAATTCTGTCCTGAAGACTGTGGCCCTGACCTATCTGACAGATGGACGCACTAAGGCTCAGAGAGGTGAAGTGACTATCGTGAGGTTACCCCACAGCTCAGGGACAGGGCTGACACTAACCCAGGTCTCCCGACTCAGGACTAGAGCACAACCTTTCCCGCCAGGGGTCACCTCACTTCCCAGGGTGACACCAAACCAGCAAGAGGAGAAAGGCCAAGGCCCCCATTGACAGTGGGGGAGGAGGGGCTGGCGAGGGCCAGGGACTGCAGAGGTGGGGCTGGGGGCCTGCAGCAAACCCAAATCCCCCCGGTTCTCTCCCCCATACTCTGCCCCAGCCCCCCAGCTCCAGAGTTCTGGTCGGTACCTTCTCTCCTGCCTGGACAACCAGGACAGGCTCTAACTCTGCTTCCCTGCCCCCAGCACTGGTGCATTCCACACAGCAGCTCGGGTACACCCTCAATTTACATCATGCTGCATGTCAACGCTGTCTCAATTAAAAAATAGTAAAACCACCTCAACTGGGCCACACCACCCGTCCCCCAGAACCCTCCAGGGGCCCCATCTCATTTACATGGAAATCCAGACCCCTGTGGCGTCCACAGGCTGCGGGACCCCAGCTGGCCCAGCGCTCGCCATGCCAGCCTCTTTGCTCCTCCCAGGGCCTCTGCACCTGCCGCTCCCTCGGCACAGGCGGCCCCAGCCCCTCACAGGTCTCAGCTCCCACACAGAAGCCTTGCTGGGCCTGCATGGGCCATGCTCTCCCGGGCCACCCTCTCTCAGTGGCCTCAGCCCCTGAGGGACCATCTGACAGTAAGATTCAGGTTGGCCACTTTCCCCTAGTCCCTCAGCAGTGACAACTGCCTCGTCCTCGCTTTGGGTGTGCTCTGCCTGGTACCCTGCATCACCTGTGATGAGCCCTGGGTGGCTCTGTTCGCTCACATCGCCTGCCAGGTCCCAGTGCTCAGCCCGCCTCCTCCCTCCCCTCCCCAGGCAAGGAAGCCCTTCAGGGTGGAGAGCGCATCTCTGCTGTCTTCACCAGGCTGCCATTCCCTCCCTTCCTCCTGGTAACAGGGCCCCGGTATTGCTCTCAGAAACCAGCTCCCCCAGTTTCAGACAGTGGAGTTCCAGTGGGACTGACACCCTCAGCCCTTGCCCACTGGCTTCAGATCTGGGCTTCTGGTTTGTGACCCAACTGAGATCTGGGAGAGCAGTGCTGGGACTTTCCCTGTAATCGTTTTGGAGGAGCCACCCCTCTCCTTTTGGGGGTGGCTTAACTACTATGAAGAAAGCCTGGAGTTGCTGGGACCATCTCACCACGGGGTTGGGGTGGGAAGGAACCTGATATTAAAACCAGCATGGAAAAATACAAAGCCCAGAGCTAGGGAAAGCCACACAGGCATCTCCTGCAATCTAAATCTATTTGATCCCTAAATTGTGTATCCCGAGCGCAGATAGCTATGGACATATTATCTCAAACTATCTGGTTCCTGAGCTTTAGATAGCAAGTGGCAAGAGTTCAGAAGGAGAGGGATTTATCTGAAAAGCTTATTCTAATTAATCCAGATCCTGAGTGCAGATAGTGAGAACTGGGGTAAAGTTTCGATAGCAAGGGATACCTGTATTATTGTGACTATTACACTAGCACCTGGATCCAGCTATACCTGAAGGTAGTCGCTCTCAAACCTTCTAGTTACATGTGTTGATAAATCCCCTTTTCTGACTGAAGTCAGTTTAATCAGGGCTCTGGCAGCTAAAAAGCTGAGTGCCTGTGTGTGTGCACGCACACACACACACACACACACACACTCCCAACTTCCACCCCTATTCTCCCAAAGCAGTGTGCTTCTGAAGGAAGCCTACCTCCTCCCAAGGTTCTCCTGCTACTCTGCTCTCCTGCCTCTGCCTCTTCCTCGTCTGAGCTGGCTCCTCAGTGTCTGCCTGCTCTGCCTTTTTCCTGGACTTCATTTTCTTCTTCTCAGGGGCCTTGGGGTCATCTCCTATTGGGATGTATTCTGGAGCTTCAACTTTGACCGACTTCTTTTTACTCCCTTTCCTACGGCTGCTCTCCGCAGACCTGGAGAGCTCGGGGTGCCCCAGGGGGGTATCTCCCTCCCGGTGGATTTCCTTTTTCTTCTTCATCTTCATGCTGTGCTCCCTGGGGCTCCCCTGCTTCCGTTTCTGTCCCGAGGCTGCCTGCTCAGGGACGCCACCTTTCCCAACTGAGCAAGTGTACAGAGCATCCCTGGCCTCACAGAACCGAGGGTCCGTGGCTGTAGCTCCCTGCGCCTTCTTCTCCTGCTTGTGTTTCTTGAGCTTCGTGCCAACGCTGGTCACCCGCTCGCCCTGCCTGGGGTCTGGGGAGGTCTTCACCCTTGAGCCAGGGGACACGGACCTTCTCTTCTTCTTTTCCCTCCCGAGGGACTCAGATGGACCAAGTGCCTGCTTCCTGGGGCTGGGCGATGGCTCAATCCGTCTGGCACGTAACGTGGTCTCAGGTTCTAGGGGCTCCTCGCAGACGGTGCTGTGACCCTTCTTTTTCTTCTTTTTCTTCATTAGAGGCATTTCGGGTGCCTGCTCTTGGACCATATTCTTCGAGGGTGATGTGGCTCTTGTGGGACAAACCTCCACAAAATAACTGTCACTGTTTAAAGCCGAGTATTGAGTCTCTGGTTCTTTAACTACCTTCTTCTTCTTCCTCTTTTTCTCTGGGAGCCCAAGGCCCAGGTCTCCTCTGTGAGTCTCAGTGATCATTCCTGAAAAAAGAAATGGTACAAGTTATCCCCATGCCAAGCCACCCTGAGTACAATTCCACTAGGTATTACCAAAAGTCACATTTCCTGGAGTGGATGGTCTGAAAGGTTAGGGGCTGGGAAAATGGGCATGATTCCTGTGGAGCAAAGGGAAATATGATCAAAGAAACAGAATGGAGTTTAAATCCTGACGGCCCCACGGTGAAATCCAAGCTGCTCCCTCACCTTAAGTCGATCACCTATCCTCGCTGGGCCTTAACTTCCCCAGCTGAAAATGGGGGGAGATAACACTTCCTTCCTCAAAAAGCTGTTGGAAAGAATAAACGATAATCCATGGAAAGTGCTTGGTACATCATTGATTCCCTTTCCTAACCCCCTTCCTCAAACCTCTTAAGCCTAGTCTTCTCTCCAGAAACATACCCTGTGCCAGCCACTGAGGGCACAACTGCACTCAAGCCACAGGCCAGGCACGGCCCCTGGGGCTTACCTTTTACTGGATGAAGGGGACAGAAATCCTGAGGTCAGCTTCTCTTGCTGACTGTCACCAGAGGCAGTAACTGTGACACAATTAATCCATTCCCTTGCTTCATCTAAAGAGTGCTTCAGCTTTGCGTCTGGAAATTAACTGCCCCCGCCTGCACCGAGGGTGACTTACTCTTCTAATTATCTTCCCGTGCGGCTAGTAATGAGAGCAGCAACAAGGTATGGTGAGGAGCCCCAGCTGGGGCTGAGGACGCCTGCATTCAAATGGTGACTCACATACTCTTGCCATACAGCACTGGCTTCTCCGGGCCTTAGTTTTCCTATCCATAAAAGAGGCACTGAACCAGATCAGATCAGAGGCTAGCGGGGAGGGGGGAAGGGGGAGGGGAGGAGGGGGAGGGGAGGAGGGAGGAAGGAGGAGCCACATCCAGCATACAAGCCTGTTTCACTGTTTTTAATTTTTCAAATAAACTGGCAACATTTAATGATTGGAGAAAACACAGCGCAACCTTGAACACTCAGCTTTTTTTTTTTTTTTTTTTTCCTTTGGCAGGGCTGGGTGGGGGGTCAAGGAGGCGCCTATGAGAAGGGGTTGGATCCTCAAGTACATTTCAGCTTCCAGTTGTACTATGTCTCTCACACCAGTCACCAGCCCAGTTCCTGCTCCCTGGACTAGATGACATGGTGCCACTCAAGGAATCCAGAAACAAATGGCCTCTCACAGGAGCTTTGGACAGTGGGCGGGAAAGGCCAGGGAGCTTCTCCATCCTGCAGCTTTCTTCAGAGCCCAGAGGGTCCATACTGGACCTGCCTCTTAGCTGCTTCAAAATGCCAGGCTAGGCCAGAGCTGTAGCTCAAGTTCACTCATAATTGGCTCTCCAGGAGCACCTGGAGAGCCAAAGGAACACTCACTCGCTTACTCCTGTCTGTCTGGTTTTCTGCTGTATTCCCAGGGCCCAGCTCTATACCTGGCACAGAACGGGTGCTCAATAAATACTCACTGAAAGAAGGAAGGAATGCTAGAGACACAGAGGTGAAAAAGAAATGACTCTGCCATCAAGAAGCAGGTAGGTGTGGGTGGGAAAGACGTGTGTAAACGATGATACAGGTGATAAAAGCAAGCATAGTGGTAAGGTCAGGGTAAGAGAGGTCATCTAATCTGGCCTACCAGTTGTCAGGAAAGTTTCTGAAGGACAGAGGTTTCCAGCTTGGGCAAGTGCAGGATGCCGGTGCTAGTCCCTAAGACAAAGAAACTGAGGTGGGGTGGTAGCGGGGGAGGCGAGGGCTAAAGGGGACAGGCTGGTTGGAACAGATGCCTTGAGATAGCCATGTGGAGATGTTGGTGGACAGGTGGATGAGGCTCAGAGGTGACTGGGCTGACATGGGTGACGTAAATTTAGGAATATATGGATGGTAAGTAAGCCTTGAACAGAACGAGCCTGAGACAGAACCTTAAGGAATACTAATGTTTAAATGGGTGGGCTGAGGAAGAGGGGCCTGCAAAGGAGAGGGAGAAGATGCAGACGTGGAGAGGGTGGAGTCAAGGGCGCCAAGGGTGCCTCAAATGGAGGAGTGGTCTAGAGATCGAATAAGAACAAAGAAGCCATGGGGAGGCTGTCCCCAACTTAATCCCCTTCTCTCTCCATCTCCGCCGTTCAAATCACTGTAGCATCCTCCTCTTTAGCACTGAAGATCCTTCTCTTCAAACCTGAGACCCTAAATGTATTCATTCCTTCAAGGAAAAGGGAAGAGGAAATGAATCTTACAGCTTCTCCTGCGAACGCAAATGCTTTCTCCAAAAGCGCTTTTTAAAGTCTCGCGGTAGCCTCGTGAGGCTCGGTGTGAATAACCCATCTCAGAGACGTGAAAACTGAGACTTGGAGGCTTTTAATTTACTTGCCCTGTGTCCCAAAGCCAGCAAGGGGTAAAACAGGGATTCGAAACCAGCCCGCATAACTTCAGAGCCTGTGCTCTCCGCATAATGGCACCAACACCCCACTCCCACCGCAGGCTCACTAGCAGGAAGCAAGAGAGCCGGGAGGCGAAACTGCCTCCTCAAAGGCTCTACCGCGCCAAAGCTTCCGCACCAACACAGAAGGAGGGATTACGCCGGGTCCCAGGCCCAGCTCCAAGGCGGGAGAACTTGCTGGAGACTGCGGCCTCAGGCCGGGGCGAGCGCACACCGGCGACCGGGGGGGGACTTGAATCTGAGGGTGCGGGTCGCCCTCCAGTCCCTCGGTTCTCCGCGCAAGTCCCCAGGCCCAGTCTCCAGCCCCAGCTCCGTCCGGCCTGGTAGGCGCCCTCCTCACTCACCCGTAGGCCAAACTTCCCCGCCTCCACGTGAGAGCCTACTCCGCCGTGACCCGGAAGTCAATCTCGACTCGCTGGCCCGCCCTCGCAAGATGCGTTTCCTTCCGGGTCGAGGCCTAGCGGGGAGCGCGGTTGCCATGGAAACTGCAGCCATGGCGGCGCCAGGACGGGTGTGCAGCGTCTCTCAGCGCTTGGAACGGGCGCTTTCAACTGAGTCGTTCATCACCGCCAGGACGCCAGGGCCCGTCGTGTCTCCCGTGTCCCTGGATCTGCGCGTCTCGCCGGGACAGGTTGCGGAGCTGCCCGGCAAGAACCTGTGGGAGCAGATCTGCGAAGGTAGGCAGCCCGGGCCGGCCGAGAGGGGCGGGACTCGGGCGGCCAGGTGGGGCCGGCGCTTCCTGGGCGCCTAAGGTGCGTCCGGCGGCTGACGCGCGAGGCCTCCTGGCAGACTCGCCGCGGGCCCGCCGGGCTCCCCATGTTACGTAGGGGAAACAGAGGCTCTGAGAGGCTTGCCCGAGGTTAGGCAGCGCAGCCTCCAGCCTGCATCCATAGTCAGGTCGAAGGCAGAGGAAGGCTGAATAAAGGGGACCAGCTGGTGTGGGCCAGTGGTGCTCAAATCTCATTTAGTGAACAGGAAAGAATCGCTGGGACGGAGATGGGGAGCTTGTTTAAAACATAGGTTCCCAGGCCCCGCCCACAGGGCTCCTAATGGGGTGTAGGGGATCTGCACTTTGAAGGAGCACCCCAGGTAATTTTGATGTAGATAGTCTGTGGCCCACGCGTTGAGCAAGCCTGGTCTAGACAGATTTGGCTTTAATCCTCTTCTTCTTAGCCTTCCTTAAAATTCGTAAGTGGAGTTTGTTTAGTTCACCTTCTTTTTTGGGCCTACATGTACCCTTGATCATGAGGTCCCGCAGTACTCTTCACATAGGTTGGACAGTTTAGGCATACCTCCGAGATGTTGCAGGTTGTGTTTCAGACCACAGCAATAAAGCGACTCACAGGAATTTTTTGGTTTCCTAGTGCATATAAAAGTTATGTTTACACAATACTGCAGCCTATTAAGTGCACAATAGCATTATGTCTAAAAATCACTGTATATGCCTTAGCTTAAAAATATTTTATTGTTGGGGAATTCCTTGGCTGTCCAATGGTTAGGACTCCGTGCTTTCACTGCCCAGGGCCCTGAGGGCCTGGGTTTAATCCCTGGTCGTGAAACTAAGATCCCACAAGCCCTGCAGTGTGGTCAAAAATAAATAAATAAATAAATAAAAATACTTTATTGCTAAAAAATGCTAACCATCATCTGAGCATTCAGTGGGTTGTAGTCTTTTTGCAATACTAATGTCAAACAGCACAGTTCACCATGACAAATGTAATAATAATGGAAAAGTTTGAAATATTTTGAGAATGTCCAAAATGTGACACAGACACAAAATGAGCAAATGCTGTTGGGAAAATGGCACTAATAGACTTGCTTGATGCGGGGTTGCCACAAACCCTTCAATCTGTAAAAAACTCAATACCTTCTAAGTGCAATACAGTGACGCACAATAAAACAAGGTTTACCTGTATTTTACTTATCCTCGGTAAAGTGAGCATAGTAATGGCACCTATTTCAAGGTGTTATGAGGATGCAGCTAAAGTGGCACTTCAGAAAGGGCTTAGCAAAGTGCCCGATTTACACTAAGAGCTCAGTGTATATTGCTCTTAATAATGCTGGATGTTTTTTTTCCTCCCTAAGATTGTAAACTCCTTGAGGTCAGGAACTCGGATTTTTCATTCTTGTGGCTACCATCATTACTTCAACTGTCTGAAACAGCACTGTCCAATAGAACTTTCAACTATGGTAGCCACTAGCCACATATGGGTATTGAGCACTTGAAATGTGATTAATGCAATTTTATAACTGAATTTTTTGTTTTACTTCTAATAAGTTCTAATAAACTTACACAGCTACATGTGGCTAGTGACCACTGTATTGGACAGTGCAGGTCAGTAAATGTTTGTTGAATGGAGGAGAGACTGAATGTACCAGTATATGGGACTAGGTAGAGGGAGAGAGAGCCATGAGTTGAGAGAAGTGGAAAATACAAAGGAAGAAGAGAATAATGGACTCAGAGTTGACAGATGCCCTGGAAGGCCATCTATTTCAACTAGTACCCAGTGCTTGAATTCCTTTTCCTGTGTTGCATTATACCTAGAAAAACCTTTTTCATCTTGAATGTTCTCCTTGTAACTTCTACCCTTTGCTCCTTACCCTCCTGGTGCTATGATCCAAGTTGCTAGTCACTCTACCATTATGAAAACACCCAAATAGAAGGTTGTTTTTGTGGCTGTCTTTTCCCCAGAGCTTTCACTTCTCCAGGCCAAACAGCTCTTCATAATATAATTGACTAGCAGTGTTTTGTCGAGGAAGCTGCTCAACCTCATCTCTAAGAGGGGATAATCCTTGTACCTACCTCACAGGGCTGTTGTGAGGCTGGAATAAGATAGTGTATGCAAAGGTGCTTGCACAGAGCCTGACATTTAGAAAGTGCTCAATAAATGTTCGTTATTGTTGACAAAGAAACATGCTTTGCATTTGTTTTAGAATCATGGAGTTTATTTTTCTCAAACAGGCCTGTAGGGAGAAAGCAAAGACAAAGGGTTTTGTTGCTCTGAAAAGCAAGTGAATTGATGCCACTTACAAAGTGATAGAGTTACAAAAATGAAGTTAATGAGGTCAGAGATAGTGAATTTATACAGACAGGCACTGTAATGATTATTATAACCTGGATGATAGACCCAGTTTCTTCAAACAAACATTCTAACAAATGCAGTTTTCTATAACAAACGTAGTAAATTCAGTTTCTCACAGCAAACATGAAAAATAGGCTTTGTAATAATCCTGTGTTTGAGGTTAAGTATTATATTCTTTTAGGATATTTCCATTTAAAAAGCAAATTATCACAGCAAACAGACCTATCAGAAACTCAATTTCAGGAAAATGAGATACAGAATAGATATTATTAAGACCTTTATTCTGCCTGGCTACTGCTGTGTGTGTGTGTGTGTGTGTGTGTGTGTGTGCGCGCGCGCGCGCGCGCGCGCATGCGCATATGATGACTTACTTGTGAAAGTTCTTCCGTTTTCTCATCTTTCCAGTGATAACTAACCTAGGGCTTTTTATTCTCAAAAGCACCTGTATTAGTATCAATAAACGTCTTTCCTGCCAAGGCTTCTAATTAAGTCTTGTAGTTGCTTATGACAATGATTTTTAACTATGGTTTTAACCAGGACTGATTCAAAGTATTTGGAGCTTACAGTCTTTTATTCTGATATTGCTGCTATTCCTGCCATCGGCATCCTTATTATTATTTTTTTATTTTTATTTTTTTGCTGTACACGGGCCTCTCACTGTTGTGGCCTCTCCCGTCGCGGAGCACAGGCTCCGGACGCGCAGGCTCAGTGGCCATGGCTCACGGGCCCAGCCGCTCCGCGGCATGTGGGATCTTCCCGGACCGGGGCATGAACCCGTGTTCCCTGCAATGGCAGGCGGACTCAACCACTGCGCCACCAGGGAAGCCCGGCATCCTTATTATTGCCGTTGGTTCATCACTCCAAACAATAGTCTCTGGCCTCAGCGCTCAGTGCTGTTGTGAAATCAGGTCCCTTCTTCCCACGTGCCAGATAACAACATGGTCCAGTTCTGAATCAATGCTTGTTCCCCCAGCACAGCAGCTGAGCACAGCTGGAGAAAAGTGACACCAGGTGGCTCCCAGCAGTGCTTATCAGTCAACATCCGTAAGTGCCTTCTCCCTTTGCCTGCATCTACTAGTCCCAAGTTTTTACTCCACTCCTCTGACTTGGCATGATACCACTTGGCAGATGGAGGAGGCATTCACTGAGAATAGTCAGGCGATCAAGAGTGGGGAGGGAATCCTCCAGCTTCCTAATACCAACAAACATATTTGCATCTGCTCATATGGAAGAAGTATTTATCCCGCTACCTGCACAGCTCAGCCCTGCATCTGTGCTTTGGCGCCGTCCTCTCGCTATACCAGGATCCTGCTCTATCACTCACCTCTCCACCATCTTTAACTTCTCTACTGGCTTTTCCCTCTAAGCATCCTCTAGTCAGTCATCTTGGTGAAAACCTCTCCCTTGACCCCTGTCATCTAGCTCTTGTCTATCCCTCATACCCTCTCTAGCCAAGCTTCTGGAAAGAACTCGTGTTCGCACCACTGTCATTCCCATTCCCTTATCAACCCATGAGCTCCTACTTCATGGCTCCAGTGAAATCATTCTCATGCATGAATCATATCTACCAGTACTGGGAGTTATTTTAACTGCTAGACCAGGCATGACCCCAGGCACTGTTCTAAACACCAACAATTACTCTCCATCATAAACTCCACTGCCTAGTCCAGAAATCAGATTCATCTTGCATGCTTCCCTTTCACTTTCCATGATCCCTACATTCATTCTCCAATCCCTATCGATCCTACTGGCTCAGCATCTCCTGTAACCCCCAGCTCCTCAGCCCCTAGCTCTCGTGGCCCTTAGCACTCCCTGTTTGGTTGCTGCTGTAGCTTTTTAGCTGGGGAGGCTTCCTTCCAGACTGTCTTCTACAGGAACCTCTCAAATTCAAATCTGATCACATCATGCCATGACCTACAATGATTTTTACAGCTTTCATGGTAAACAGAAACTTCTTAGCTTAACACCTAAGCCCTTTAATGATTTGGTCTCTGTCTCTTTTTTTTAGATTCATCGCCTACCATTTGTCCAAATCATCCTAATGGCTAACATTTATTGAGCTGCCCTTTATGTGCCAGGCACTGTGCTAGGTGCTTGCTTTTCCTCTTGTTTAAACCTCTCAGTAATTTGGTGGTTTAAACAGATAAGGAGATTGAGGCATAGAGAGCTTAGGAAACTTGTCCAAAGTAAGTGGTAGAACCGGACTGTAACTCGTGTGTGACACTCAAGTTCAAGCCCTTAAGCGACATAGCAGTGTGCTCCAAAGTGTAGACCTGGAGCTCCCACATCACAATATCCCAGATACTTGCTAAAGTGCAGATTCCTGTGGTGTGATGATTCACCCCACTCCTTGGGGGTGAGTCCCTAAGCTCTGCATTTTAAATACACTCTCTAGGCAAGGGACAAGGCATAGTATCACTGTCCTGTGCTGTGTACCTTTAACCATAAGAAACTATTCCTCCAGCACACCACACTGTTCCATTCCTCCACACCTTTGCACAAGCTTTGCCTCTTACTGGAACATCTCTGCCTTCTCATCTTCATCTTTCAAGACTCAGCCCAAGTGGCCCCTCTTCTGGAAAGCGTTCTGTTATTCTTCACGCTGATTTTGAAGCCCCTCCTTGGTGCTTCCTGAGTGCAGCCCTCTATGGCATCACTTTCACATCTTATAACCACTGGCTCTTACTGTCCATCCCCTCACCAGGACACAAGCTCTTCTGCCTTCTTCATCTGTCCCCCCAGCACCTTGTACATCCCCTTGCCGTAGTATATGCTGGCTAAGTGTTCGTTAGATTCACTTCCAGCCTCCATCTTCCTGGTTCATCCCTTTCCAATAGGCCACTGTTGGTGAACACTGCATTTTAATTGCTGTTTCATTTAGGAACATGTTCAGCTGCAAATCACAGAAAGCCCAACTAATAGTGGCCTGAGCAATGAAGACGTTTCATCACCTCACGTGCCTGGAGCATGGCGGCGGGGAGGTTCCAATTTGAGCACAAGGGCTCTGTTCCCCCAACAGGGTTATAGGTTCTTTCTGCTCTGCCTCTTACATATGTTGCCTTTGTTGTATAAAATGAACAACTACATTTACTTGTTCGTTTAAAATGCATATAACATTAAATTTCCCTAACCAATTACAGGTTCTCCCTGCTACCCAAAAGTAGAGAGTTCCTGTGAAAACTTTCCTAAGCCAAAATGGCATAAAGCAAAGAAATGATTACCTTAGGACACATCTTGCTAAAGGATGCACAGAATAAATCGAGAAAAAGTACAGATGTTCACAGACAGTTCAAAACTGTGGTGGCGTGATGCTGAGATGCTGAGTGTAGTTCCAGGGGAAGGAGCTTGGCAGTGCCACTCCACTGCTCGGAATACACACTTCCTCTGTAACAGTTTGCTGCAAAAAAAACGCTGATCGCTCTTTTCACTTTTCACCTTTTCTGTTAAAGCAAAAATGCCCTTTGGATTTGTCTTGGTTAGCGAAAACAGGTACTATTGTAGGTCTTTTGTAAAAGTGAAGTGCGTAAAGCAAACTTTCGAAAAGTGGAGGACACTTGGAATCCAGTTTACAAGCTTAGGTAACGAAAAGATTGTAAACATTTGGAAATTTAATATACCTAATTTTCTTAAGAATTTCTAATGCCAAACCAGCAAATTTTTCTTCAGTACTCTTTACAAACTTAATAAATTCATGCAAAATTATATGGCTTTCAATGTAAAAAGCATCAGTCTGTAATCAATTATGTGTTTTAAATTGAAATCGCAAGGTGACAGTGAAAAATTCTCAAATATGCCAGATTCTCTTAAATCTTACAGAGGCTTGAAATAAAAAACACATCAGATTGTCCTGAGGCAAATGTAGTTTCCCATACTTCTACATAATCATATAACTGTATATCTTTTGTGGTGTAGGATGAAAAAGTTTGTATATTTTCCATCAAATTTCTCATTGGGAAAAATATAAATGGCAAATAAATCATAATTAAAGAAATATAAATAAAAGTAAAGTATCATTTTAAATATGTATGAGATCAGTTATACCCTAGAGAAACAGGCAGACTTACTATTAGGAGTGTGAATTATTATAAACCTTTTGGAGGAAAATTTGGCAATTTGGCCCAAATTTTAAATTATTTTTTTCTTTGAAAGAACAATTCCACATCTAAGAGTTAATCCTACAAAAGTACCTCCTTTCTGATCAATGATGTATGTATAAAGATGCTTACAACAGCATTGTTTGTAATAATGAAAAATTGGAAGCAACCTAAAAGCCCACTAAGAGTACACTGGTTAAATAAATGGAGCACATCATATAGTAGCAGCATTGAACGAGCTCCATGATTCAGCACCTGGAATGGATTCTGGCACATAGTGGACTCTCAATAAATATGGATGAATGAATTGATAAAGAGTCAAAAGTAACTTCTGTAGTGTTTGTTTTGTTCATTCATTCATTACTTCATTCATTCAGCTTCTGACTTCCCTAGCGGTCCAAGCGTGATTAAGACTCCACACTTCCAATGCAGGGGACGTGGGTTCGATCCCTGGTCAGGCAACTAAGATCCCACATGCCGTGCAGCCAAAAAATTTAAATTAAAAAAAAAAAAGTACATTCATTCAGCTTCATATTCTTTGGGAATGTGATGGTGAGCACAAACAGACCCAGGTACATCCACATCCCACCCCCCCAAAAAAAACACAGTGTTTTAGAAGAGATACTCATTAATTTTTACAAATTTCAAATAAGGGTAAGACTTAATATGAGTTATGCAGAATAAGGACACAGTGTTATCAACTTCTATGCTTGGATGATTTGAGCTAGTCTAGGAGATCTAAAGTGAATGAATGTATTTGTGAATTATATACAAATGTTAGTAAATGCATTGAAAAAGTTTTGGTTGAATCTATGCCAATTCCAGCAATGGTTATGGGTTGTAATGGGATTAGGTATGACTTAGATTCTACATAAGCCATCTCCGTATTATTTGGAATTTTTCTCATAATAAGCATGTATTGCTATTGTAATCAAAGCTATAAATGTATATGTATCTTAAATCCAAACGAATAGTTTTCACACCATGTTGGTGATTCTCAGTGTGTTGGGGGAAGAAGGTGAATTTACATTTTTGCTTGAGAGGAAAGAATAAAGTGGTAGAGCTAGAGTTGCTGTGGTGGGCAGAATTCTCAGATGGCCCCCAAGATTCCTGCCGCTAGTGCACATAGCTCCCAGTTATCCAGTCAGAAACTAATTTAGGCATTGCTGTCAAAGGATTTTTCAGATGTAATTAAAGTGTGTAATCAGATGACTTTATTTTTTTTTTTCTAATTGAATCTGTAGGTTTTTTGTTTATTTGTTTTGTTTTTTGGCCACACTGCACAGCTTGTGGGATCTTAATTCCCTGACCAGGGATCGAACCCAGGACCCCAGCATTGGAAGCTCAGAGTCCTAGCTACTGGACTACCAGGGAATTCCCTCAATTGACTTTAAATTAAGAAGATTATTGTAGGTGGGCCTGACCTAATCAGGTGAGCCCTTAAAAGAAGTCAGAGAGGTTCAAGCAGAAGAGACTGCTGTTGCTTTGAAGTAGCAAATATCCAAGAGTGATCTGCCTGGACCCGAGGGCGGCCAGCCTCTTGGTGCTGAGAGCAGTCCCCATAACAACCCACAAGAAAATGGGGACTTCAGAGCTACATCCACAAGAAACTGAATCCCACCAACAATCAGTGAACTTGGAAGAGGACCCCAGCCGTCAGATGAGATCACAGCCATGGCCAACACGATTTCAGCCTGACGAGATCCTGACCCATACCCAGACTCCTGACCCTTGGGAATTGTGAGATAATAAATTTGTGTTAAGTTGCTAAGTTTGTGATAACTTGTTACACAGCACTAGAAACCTATTCTAGCTAGTATTGGGAATCTTAATTGCTTAAAACCTGCATCCTAACATACTAGTCCTCAACCTGATACCTAGGAATTGAAAAAAAAGTTGAGAATTGCTCTACCACCTGATAAGGAACTAGGTAATGGAATAAAACTTGCCTCCAGTACAAATGCATCAACCCCATCTCACCCAGAAACTTTGTTTTCCCTCATCACTGCAAAGCAACTATGCAATTGCCTTTGAAACATTGACCTTTCCGGAAATATTTTTACCAGTCTTTCCCTTAGGGGTATAACCAATATAGTCATGGGCATTTTCTTTCTGTCTCTCAGCAATAGTTGTTGTTACGCTGTAGAACTTATGTGGAATATTCTTTGCATTAAGCTCCCCAGCAGGTTGACAGTCTTGAAACCTGGCAATTGTTCTCCAACTCACTGCATGTTAGAATCAGCTGGAGGACTTAAAATATTGATTCCCAGCCTCTTGCCCCAGACCTATTGAATCAAAATTTCTGGGGTCGGGCCAAGACATTAGCATTTTCAAAAATCTTGTACAGCCAAGATGGAAACTTACTGGAGCTTATAGTAGAACCTCTCCAATTTTAATTGCATGCAGGTTACCTGAGGGTCTCGTTAAAATGCAGATTCAGATTCAGCAGATCTGGGGTGGGGCTTGAGATGTTGCATTTCTAACTCCCCAGGGATGCCGATGCTGCTGGTCCGTGGGCAATGCTTCGACTAGCAAGGGTTTACGGGATTGCTTTTCCAGCCGTGTACCCCAATCTGGCAGCCTTAACTTCACGCCCATCCCCACGTCTGCCTGAGATGGCTCATCTTGCCTCTGTCTCTTTTATTCTGCCCCCCTATATGTAACATTATTCTCTTCTTTTTTTCTCCCCTCTCCTTCCTGTATGCAATTGGTGTCTTCCCTTAGCCACCCTCCTCATTTTCTTCCTCTTTTTATCCCTCGTAGTTATAATTTGGTGGGCAAGATCTAAATCTACCTTCTTGGGAAGAGTCTCAAACTCTTACATAAAGCCTGGAGTCTTTCATGCAAGAGAAGAATTATCTCTTACCCATTTTAAATAAACACCCTGTAATGGCCAATTGTTTTTTCATTTTTGAAAACCACCAACCAAAATAAAATTTAAGGATATTTTATTCAGAGGAAAGGGAATTATCCACAAGCTGTAATGAAGTATGGAATTGAGGGTTTTTCCCCCCCCCCACTCCCTTCAGAGTATGAAGCTGAGCTGCCTCCCTTTCCAGAAGGATATAAAGTCAAACAAGAAGCTGTGGTTACTGTGAGTATCACCTGGGCCCCAACCTAACTGAAAGGTTCTTACACGAAAACAGCACTGATGGCTGGTGAGCATCAGACAGTGTCATGAATCAGGGAGGGGGAAAGGAAAGGCACTGGAACCAGAACCAGAACCAGAACCGGGGCCAGTCATACCTCTGCTGCTAATGATGTGACTTAAAGGGCATCACACAACCACTTTGAGCCTCAGTTTCTGCATCTGTTAAATGGAGCAGATAATCCTTGACTAACTCACAGGGACTTTGTAGGGCTCAAATGAGATCCTAGATGAGGAAGGCCTTTGCAGTGGATTCAACATCATGTCCACGTTGGGGACAGTTTTGCAGATGGAGCAGATTTCTTTTTGCATAGCTGGGTGGGCTAAGACTGTACTAAGGAAGGAAAGAGGGCCAAGGACAAGGCAGCCAGGAAGGGAGGCCCTAAGGCAGTATGCTTGGAGTAAAATAGGGACTTAATGGAGTTTAAAATAAAAAGGTAAGGCTCTGAGAAATGAAGGGACTTGAGCAGGGTCACAGGGATGAGACAAAAACCTAAGTCACTAGACTTCAATATGTCACTGCAGCTGCCCCCATTAGAGATTCTGTGTCTAAGAACTTCCTTGGCCTGTGATTGTTCCTTTTTCATAGCATCCTGTTCTTGCTTTATGAATGCAATGCTTTTTCAAATTTCTCTGCAGATACTAATTACAGTTCTCTCCCCTGAATTATTTTTGCTTCTTCAGGGTCAGTTGTTCTTTATAGATCTTGATCTTTGTCTTTTATGCTGTTGATGTTCTTCATCTATGTAGAAAGTTTTGATTATTTATTCAAAATTTAAAATGCAAGCCTGAGTGGATATTTCTACATAGTTGGTATAGTTTTCTTCTACTGTCATACATGTTGGTTTGTTTTCTGGATGGGTCTCTTCCATGAATGGAAACACTGACTGGGAGCTCATGGGGAGTGATTGTCCACTGGAGGACTTTTCTTCAGGGTCAGCAGACAGGGACTCCCTATTTTGGGACTGGGCTGGGAGCCTTCAAATCAATGTTGAGGTTTTTTTTTTTCTCTTGGCTGCCAAAATGGCACCCTGAGTAGTTCTACTCCTTCCCAGGCTGTTTGTTTAATTTGTTTACAGAAGATTCATTGGAAAGGAGGGAGAGCAGGATATAAAAGGCTGCTGTGAATGCCAAAGGGGGCAGAAGCAGGAGGAGGGAGGATGGGGCAGCAGGCCACGGGGTCTCCAGCCAGATTTTCACTTAACCTCTTCTGTATATTGTTTCCTTTCTCATTCCCACACTGTGAGGAACTGAACCTCTGAAGCCCTTTGGAATTCTGGTGGGAACGTGGACTCTCGTCTTCTGGGGGCAGTTTCCTCCTGTGGATTCTGACCTGCCACTCCTCCTCTCATCTGACAACAGGCTTTATTCTGTTTCTTCTGTAAATTTATTTATTTATTTATTTTTGGCTGCATTGGGTCTTCGTTGCTGTGCCCAGGCTTTCTCTAGTTGCGGTGAGTGGTGTCTACTCTTTGCTGTGGTGCGCGGGCTTCTCATTGCAGTGGCTTCTCTTGTTGCAGAGGACGGGCTCTAGGCATGTGGGCTTCAGTAGTTGTGGCACGCGGGCTTCAGTAGTTGTGGCACACGGGCTCAGTAGTTGTGGCACATGGGCTCAGTAGTTGTGGCTGGCGGGCTCTAGAGCACAGGCTCAGTAGTTGTGGCTCATGGGCTTAGTTGATCCGTGGCATGTGGGATCTTCCTGGACCAGGGCTCGAACCCATGTCCCCTGCATTGGCAGGCGGATTCTTAACCACTGCGCCACCACAGAAGCCCTATTCTGTTTCTTTTGGAAATGTCTGGAGATCTCTCATCCATTGACAGCCCTCCCAGTCTTTGTTATGGGTTTATTTCTTGGTTGTCCTTTATAGGTGTCTTGGGAAAGAAGAGAAAGATTTGTGCTCAGTATGCCCCCTTGAACCTAAATTCTGACACAGACTTTTATTTTTGTTATATTATAAAAGAAAATACAATGATTTAAACTACATGAATTGATTTCCCTCCCCACCGCCACCCCAGGCGTCGCCATCAGAGGAAAGGGTTTTCTACGGCTTCAACATGGAACACCTTTACCCAGCTGCTCCTTTAGCTGTGGTCCCACAAGTGTACTGTCCTCAAGCTAAACAGGAAACAATCGACCCAGAAACATGTACGTAAGGAAGTGCGATCTCAGCTCTATAGTTCAGGACTTGTGACATTGCAAAACCATGGGGTGGGGACAGGGTGGACAGATAGACCTCAGGGAGACCACGTTAATAAGAAAGAATGTGTTCTTGTTTAATTTTTATTTTTAAGAGAAGTAGCCTTTATTCTATTGATGTATCATTTATTTTAATTTCTGAATTTATTTTTTTATACAGCAGGTTCCTATTAGTTATCTATTTTATACATACTAGTGTATATATGTCAATCCCAATCTCCCACTTCATCCCACCCGCCCTCCCGCTTTCCCCCCTCGGGGTCCACTGATGTATCTTTAAGGTTGAAAAGGAAGAAAGACACTTAAGTTCTTAAGTACTTAAGTTCTACATTACATACAAAGGGGGAAAATGTAAAGAGTAAAAGAAAATATCATGCTGTCTTGCTTTGTGTGTGGAAGCCAGAGATGCAGGCGTCCTCGTCTTCCTCCCAGAGTCCCTGTTCCTCGCCCTCTCTGGTGCCAGGCCCTCTCCCACTGGTTTGTTCTGTTCCCTCCGCTAGTGGGCTTTAGGCTTTGGTAACCACTATTACTGTGCCCTTAGGTCCTTGTACCCCCGCCCCGTTCCCCTCTGACCTCAGTTCCTACCACACTCCCCTTGCGTATTTCCCTGCAGCTACACCGGCCTCCTGGCTGTGCCTGTGGCCCTGGCCCCGTGTGGGACCCCGTCTACAGCCCCACCAGACTACAGAGGCTCAGAGGGATATTTTAAATTTCGTCGGTAATCAGCCCAACTCAGCAGTCTAGAGTAAAATATAACATTTATGGTCATGTTGATTAATGGAGAACACCTTTTTTTGTTCAGAAGCAAATGTTTCTCCCAAATAAACTTGAGCCATTTTGGATTTTTGGTGGGAATTTTTTGTTTGTTTTAGGTTCCCCCAAAGAATATTTGGAAACATTCATCTTTCCAGTTCTGCTTCCCGGAATGGCTAGCCTGCTTCACCAAGCAAAGAAAGAAAAATGTTTTGAGGTCAGTTGTTTTGTTTCTTTATTTCTAAATGCTCAATAATGCATTTTTATCAGGTGGTAGCTCATTATCTTAGTACCATCAAGTGGCTGTTTTCAAAATGATCCCTTTGGGAGGGAAAGCCTTGTTTCAGTTACTTATCCGACTCCGGCCGGGACATCTAGTTGTGCACACACATGCACTGCCATCTGTCTGGCCGCCTGGCTCTGGGGAGGTTTTCTGCCTCGCTTGGCCTCCCTGCCTGCCCTTCTTCTGGGCAATTGGCATCTGCCAGGTTTCTTGGGTCTTCCTGCTCCCGTTATGACATGCACAGATTATAGCTCTCCTGCCCTCTTATCCAGCTCCGGATTGACCATCCTACCTTGGGCCTCTCCCGACTCCACTTCATGCCAAATGCCACGAATGTACTTGCTTTAGGAGAGGCCTGGCCCATGGTGAGTGCTCGGTGACTGGTCATTATCAAACTGCAACTAGTCATCTGTATGAATCAAGTTCCAGTCCTGGCGCGCCGCCATGTAAATACCCCAGAGGCTCCCTCTTTTCTGCAGTTGGCAGTATACGTCAAGTGTGTGTCTTCCCTGCACAGTACTAGAATTTTGGATGACCTATATGCAGAGAGTAAAATAGCAACAGCATTTCACGTTGACCAAGTGCTTGCTCTGCTGGGTGCTTTGCTTAGGGCTTTATCATCACTCCCAACAGTTCTGTGAGGTTCCTCTTGATTCATATGGTCTGCATTCTGCAGATGAGACAACGGCTGAAGGGATAGATTCAGAAAGGTGATCAAGGGTGAATGGCAGAGCTAGGATTCAAATCCAAATTAAATGATTCAAAATGATATTTTAAAAAGTTGGCTGTAACTACAGTGCAAACTCCAATTTGTTTGACCCATGTCTTTAAAGCATTCACAGATAATGGTGTCACCTGCTTGGTTGCCCTTCAGCACAGGACCTCTCTGTGAGAATAGGATACTGTCCTGATGCTTTTATATACCGAAGAGACAACGTTTTCACGTGCTCTAGCAAACACTCAACTTTCCTTTAGCGCTGCCTTGACATTATACTGACCCTCCTGTCTCTTAGTCACCCCACTTTATACCTCCCCCTAATTCACTGCCACTGGTCCATTCAGCATAACATTCCTTCTGACAGGCCTCACCGTGACAGTTATGTCTTTAGTAGAAGCAGAAACGAATTATGAGACGTTGATCTGAAACCAGGCAGCACGCTTGTGAAGGAGGTGTTTAGGGTACACTGCTGGGCCATGGTACACTGTTTAAGAACCATGGATCCACATAAGGGAGCCCGAGACCCCTCAGCCTGGCTTTCACGGCCCTCTGCAGTCTTTTCCCTCCTTCCTTAGAAGGACATCTCTCTCTGTTCTCCTTCCTGGGTGATACCCTCCAGCAGATAGAACCACTTGGAGGTCCCTGTACCTGCCCCACACTTCATGGCTTCTGTGCATATGTTCCTTCATTTTTTTTTTTTTTTTTAAGAAAAAAATCCTTGAGTTCTTCTTCTCTGCATATTTAAGTTCTATTTGTTTTTTCAAACTCAGCTCTGTGGCTTCTCTTTCAGGCCTACTGTTCCCAAACTGGAAGCAATTGAACCCAGCCCTCAGATTTCAGAGTATTTCATCTATTTCTCTTCTAGTGGAAAATTAAGACATCCTTAATTAAGACATTCTTGACCCACAAATACACTTCATTTTATACATGTCTGTCTCCCCCAGTATTTTAAGTTCCTTGAGGACAGATTCTCTGATTTATTTTTGTATCTCTATTCAGTGCCTAGTATATCCTACCCAGTACCTAGCCCCTGGTGAATACATAGTTGGCCGTCAATAAATGAGTGCACAGTTGGACGTCAGGGGAGCACCTCTACTACTATGTCGTCGACCAAAACCCAGCTTTCTTCTATCTGGGAAGGCTGTTCTCTTGGGCTCATCCCTGGAGGGATGCCATGAAGCGGGGTGAGAGACGAAGACATCCATATATTTCGTGAGTTAGTCAGTGTAAGAGAGCAGTGGGTGGCAAATTCCACTGCCTAACCCTCCTTATATATTAATTATGCAATTAACTAGTAAATTGGGCTTTGGTTTATGGCATATTGATTGACTCCATCTCTGGAGTCAGGGTTACCTGGTTTTGACATCTCCCTCCACCCCAGCTGGCTGTACAGCCTTGGGCAAGTTATCTCATCTTTCTGAGCCAACATCTTTTCCTTATGTGTAAAATGAAGATGATCATAGCACCTGCTCATCGTGTTACTGAACCAGGGACTGAACCAGGGTCATTTGCCTGATGCACAGCAAGCCAAATACTAAGACACTGAGGTTTGCAGCAGAGAAGGGGTTTATTCACCAGGCAGCCAAGTGAGGAGGAGATGGGATAACAAGTCTCAGGTTCACATTCCCGAAGGCAAGGGGCTTGGGATATTTATGGGTGAAGAGTATACCGTCAGAGGTCCAGGGGAAGGTGATTGGAGGCAGGAAAAGGGTGAGGTAATCACTGCACTGCACAAGTATATCTGAATTACATGCTTCTTTCTTCATGGGATGCATGTTCAGAAAATAGAGGTGCTAGCATGAACTGAGGGTGGAGTTTTTGGCTCTCTGACGTCACAAGGTCATTCATGGGACAACTGTGTAGGCCCAGTTTTAGGGTCGGTGGTCCCAACCAGTTGTAGCCTGCTTGAACTGGACAAGAGCTGACTCCAAGTTTCTGAAAAACAGCTTAAGCCACCGTTACTATAGCAACCCATACGTCAGTCAGAGGTGTTATCTATAGGAGGCGGTTACGGAGTCTTGTGATGTATTATCTAGGCTACATGAAGCTTGGAGGGTATGCAATTTGCAAAAATAATTAAGGCATCCTTGATCAGTGAAAGCAGGTTATAAGCACAGGGACTTTTAACAAGCAGTTCCCTTATCTGCTCAAGACAAGCTCAAGAATTTCTGTTAGCCACTGGTTTAGGTTAACCCTATGGGGCACAGTTTCAATGGGATTATCATGCTGATGAAATGAGGTGGCCCATACAAAGTACTTAGGGCAGTCCCTGGAATGTAGGAAGAACTCAGTAAATGTTAACTTATTATTATTATTATTTTTTGTTAACTTACTATTGATTATTAGTATTACTGGGCTGCAGGTTCTCCCCAGGTAGGGTGGGTTACACCCATTACCTGAGTGGGCTTGCTCTTGTTCCTTGGCTACACAGAGGCCTTATTCAGCACTTGGTCCCAGCTCCCCCAGACATCTGATTACACAAGGGCTTCATGAAGAAGGTTTCTTTTGCTGATACTTTTATAGGGAGGTGGGAAGAGGGCTTTGTTGGCATCTAGCAAGCAATACTTCATTACTCCTCTCTAGAACCATGTCTGTCCTCTCCAGGCACCTCCTCCCACACAGCCTCTCCAGACCCCTTTTGGGTCCTGAACAATTCAGCTCTGGCTCTCAGCCTGCATAGCCCACTCAGCAAAGAAAAGTGCAGCATTCGGCTTACCCTTCGTTCCTCAAAATGCAATTCAACCGCTATCCATAGCTTTTGGTGGGTGGGAGTGGTGGTAGGGGGCTTCACACCTCTCACCCCAACAGAGACAGAATTGCAAGGTTTTCTTCATATTGCTCTGGCAGAAATTCTTAGTTTTGAGACACAGGCCTGGTGAATTCAAATCTGGGGAACCTTAATCCTGCTATATTCTCCTGACATTCTGGTACAGCCCAGTTGTCCAGATTGAACCAGAAAAAACCACAATGATCAGATCCCCATTTTCATTAACATGAGAAGCTGCTCTGCTGAAGGGGACTATAAACAGAAAAAGCTGGTAAAATGAATGCCAGCAATTCAGGTACTGACTGTCCATCCAGGTCATGGTGGTCCCCTCACTTGTGGTTTGACTGCTGCTATCATAATAGTTAGTGATCGTATTAATGGTCAGAGAAGCTATCTCACTTGTTAGTTGTCTACTGTGTGTCACCACTGGTCAAATTGCTTTATACTCATCATCACATTTCACCCTTACAATCAACCTCTAAGCCAGATCCCCTATTCCATCAACCCCTTTTTACAGAGGAGGTCCCTGGAACTCAGAGAAGTCGAGCATTACCTAAGATCACCCAGCTAGTGAGCAATGGAGCAGGTCTTCAACCAAGGTCCAGATGCTCCGAGAGCCTGTGCTTTCATCCCTCTCAAAAAATGGGGCTTGGAGGCTGTCCTCTAAATAGCTCCAGGAAATACAAATTTTTTAAATTTGTAGTTCTCTTCTGGAGAACAGATTGCTACTTGCCTTAAGTTATAAAATCTAAACTGCTTCTATTCTTGTGTATTTTTCATTTGCTCATTTGGCTTCCCCTGACGACTTAATTCTTGTCTCCCATTTGTAACTGAGCTTCCCCTCCTCTGTGTGGTGTTAAACAGGGCAAGGTGTGGCCGTATGGAATGGTAGTGAGGCTGGGGGCCAGAGAGCAGAGCCCTTGGCCTGACCCTGTATGTGTCAGATGGCCTTGCCTCTCTGGCTTCAGGTCCTGCTGCTAAATGAGAGAGACCAGCCAATCCTGCAAGTCATATTTCAAGGATCTTTCTTTTTAATCCTGGCCAAAGTATATTCAGTGTACCCTGCCTTTTATTAGCTTGATCAAAGGATGGAACGCAGTGATTAAACAATGAAATAAATGAGCACAATGGAATAACCTTTGTTTGGATATGTGTGAGAATATCTGCAAACATATTAAGCCACCCAAGTTCAGTTCCTTTCAACAAACATTTATTAAGCCCTACTATGTGCTGATCATGGGGCCAGGCCCTGGGGACCCAGAGAGGACAAATCTGGCCCTGTCCTCAAGGAAACCACAGATGAGTAGCAAAGCCCTCGGTAGCTGAAGGATAAAGGTAGCTTTTATTTTCTTCCCCTTTGTTCTCTTTTGCTTCTCCAAAAGAAGAATGAATATGGAGAAACAGCGAGTGTGGATCTGGTGCTAGACATTCACTTCTAGACCTTAAGGC